CCCTCCCTCCCTCCCTCTCTCCCTCTCCCTCTCCTCCCCTCTCTCCCCCCTTCCCTTCTCTCCCTCCCTTCCCTTCTCTCTCTCTCTCAAACATTAAAAAAATTGTTTTTTGAAAAGTCTGCTAGCATACCAAATAATTCTTTACCTAGTTCTCTAGCTCCTGACACTCTTCACACCAATTATGGCCTATGGTGGTCAGCCCTGCCCCTATTCAGAGTTCCTGTTCTAGACTTTGCCAGCCTTTCCTACTCTACCAGTTTTTCAGTGTACTTCTCCTTGGGACCTAGGTTTAAAATTCAAGTGTGTTGGAGATTTTAAGTAGTGATGTCTATGGAACTATTTGTATGATGCCTGAGGACCTATTTGACAGGTGGGCATTATGGCAACCATTAATTTTCTAGGTGTTCCTAATATTCAGCTAACATAAAGGTCAGTTTTCGGTCACGTGCCTTGAGTAGCTTTTGCAGTGTTCTGCGTGTGTGTAGGTTTTTGGGGGTTTTTTTGTTGTTTTTTAATTTAAAATTTTGTTCCCATAAATTAAATGTCCTCATGCTGTGCACATTCTTTGCAGCATTTGTTCCATGGTTCAACAAGGAGCCAGCAGTCAGTAAGCCAGTCAGCCTAGTTCATTGTAACCTTTGTTACTTTTGTCATGAAACATTAGAACTGTTATTGTGCTCATTCTCTCTGATCTGTACCAAATGAAGAGGGGGGAGTCAATAAAGATCTGGAAATCTATTTCTCCTGTGGTGTTTGCTTATAATAAATATCATTGCCTTCACCCCTGTCGTAGTTAAAGAGCTAGAAGCTCATTCTCCCATTTTCCTCTCACTTCCAAAATCCATTTATCCATAAAGTTTCCCCTACTTTTACCTCAAGAAAGAGATCTCAAATACGCTCCCTCACACACAGACCCTTAGTCTAGGCTTCCATCAATCCTGGTCTGGACTTCTAGAATATAATATCTGATAATGTTATCATGGTATTTTCTTCTACTCAGAAGCCTTTGCTGGCTCCTTTACCTTTGTGATAATTTAGCTCTTGTTATTTACCCTTCCCCACAGCTGTATTCCTCATGCCCCAGCCAATTTGAACTCCCACTTGCATTGAATTCGCTAGTTGCTGATTTACCCATCTCCATGACCTCTTTTCTGTCTACCTCCAGAATATCTTTCTTGTTTTCCGTTAACTTTAAGATTTGAGGCAAATATTGCCTTCTTTAACACTACTTTTAAAGTCCTAAAGCAGGTTTTGCAACCATATTTCTTCAGCACAGTTTGACAAGACATTTAATGATTGCTGTAAAATGGTGTTTGATATGAAGCGAAGGGGTTGTGTGCTAGTAGGAAACTGTCCATCTTCACTTCCTTAGTTCACCACCACAGTGCTTGCCACAGGAACGATGGGGGTATTATTGACGGCGCTCATGTTTGGACTTCGTTGTGGTCTTTAAGAACAGTTTTAGCTGTTTGACAAAATTGAGCAGAAAATAGATTTTCCATGTACTCCATGGCCATGCATGCAGCCTCCGGGAGAGGGTTGACTCCTGCACGACCTCTCCCGCTATCCAGCACCACAGTGGTGAGTGACAGTTGTTAAATTCGACAAGCTTACATTGACACATTATGACATCACCCAAAGCCCATAGTTTACCTGGGACTTATTCCTGGTCTAGTAACAACTTCTGTGATGGTTTTTTAGGAGTCCCCTTTATGACCTCAAGGAGAGCTTGGGAATTGGAAATGGTGAGGAAGAACTGAGAAAGGATGAAGCTAGTAATTAATGGAATGAGATATATTTATGGTTTCCTACTTAAATAAGTAACAGTGCTCTAGGAGTAAGAGTGGGGTGGCTGGAACATTGTTCATGTTAGTGGATAAGGTAATCCTACAGGTAGTCCTAAAGTTACAACTTAGTTGGTAATCTCTTAGTCTTAAAAATGAAACAAAAACAAAACTCTCTGCTTTAAATTTCCTAATGGTTGTTTGGCAGCCAGAAGGTCCCTGTGACCATAGGAAAAATAGGAGGTAATGCACAGAGAACCAAGCTTATAGCTTAATCTTTGGCAACATGAAATGTATTCCATTTTCTGACTTGTTCAACTTGGTTCTGTCTTGTAGGAATGACACCAAGGAAGATGTATTTGTACACCAGGTGAGTGCTTGTGTGAATGTTTCCAATTCTGGATTTAAGGGTTGTGAGAAGGGGATGGACGTTTTCTCAACTATTGTTCCTTACAAAAAGGTTATTCTATCCAACCACCAAACAATTTAGTTCCCATAGGAAGTGTTTAAATGTATACACTAGAATATTGGTGACTCAATTAAAACAGGTATTTCTCAAATGGGTGTTTTGTTAATGTAGTTTTTTGAATGACGAAATCTACTCCTACTAAATTTTTAAACCAGTTTCAGAGGAAGAAAAAAAAATCTCCATTACCCTAAGCTTGAACTAATAATGCTATAAATACACACAAAATTTGGTGAGGTGTTTGCAAATGCTGCTAGGTTGTAGCTCTGTGGTAGAGACAAAATCACAATCATCATGGCGGGAAGTAGGACTAAGCTGCAAAACCTGTAAATTTGAAGTGGATGCTGAGGGGAAGAAAAAAAAAAACTAGCAAAGTAGCCTAGGTCCTTCTGTTTATGCTAAAGCACTTTGAATGGGAATTACCTTTGGAGAATTTTGGTTGGCTTGAAAAATTTAAGAATCCTGGCTAGTTTAGGGTTGAAGTCAAAAGGTAGTATGGCAAAGTTGGTGATTACTCAATAATTTTTAGATTGGCTTCAGTGTTTTGAGAGTAAAAAAAACTAACACAGGATTAGGTGTTGCAATGCTAAGCTTTCACAGGTACATATAAGAAAATACTTCAGAATATGCTTGTGCATTAAGGAATTAAAGTAAGCACTGCCAAGTAAACACCAGTACCTCAAACTTAAGTACATCATGGGCTCTGTTGGACTTCATTATCTTCACAGGTGTGCCATGGGTAGGAAAAACACATTTGTATGTGTGTACTTGGGTACACTGCCGTTTTTTCACTAAGACTGTTGAAATGTTATCAGGTTGTACTGAAAATCACTCCAAGAACTTTTTAGCCACTTTTTTACATTTTTCTCCAGACATCAAAAGACCTAGTTGGTTTTCACACTAACACTGTTAGGCAGGTGTGAGCTTGGATGGCAGCATACTTTGTAGGAAAGGCTGTCTGAGGTTGGTACTTTGTCACTTTCTGAGGTATCCTATACAGCATTCAGTGGTAATCAAGGGGGGAGCCAGATCAGTTTCTTATACACCCAGAGCTCTATCACAGAATCTCAGGGTCAGATATATGAGTATGGAAACATTTAAATTCTAAACATAGGGGCACCTGAGTGTACAGTTCTTGATCTCGAGCTCATGGGTTCAAGCCCCATGTTGGGTGTATAGATTTCTAAAAATAAGTAAATAAATGAATTTTTAAAAATAAATTCTAAACATAAATACAGGACTGCTCAGTGTTATTTTTAAAACATTTTGTAAGATTGAATGCCAACTCCTTTGTGTTCCTAATTTCCTTTTTGCACGTTCAAAAGAATATACATAATTAGAAACGAGACAGCAAGGCTTGTCAGTCTTGTTGCTTGACAGCAACATTAAAGAGTTCGGGGGTAAATTGGGGTGTTTTGAAGATGCTGACTGAAATGTTTTGAGATTATAAATCTCTGTACTTCTGCTATCCCCAATGACTGCAGGTAATTAAGAGTTGGCTATATATGGAAGGTATGAAAACTTTGTGACAGTTTAGATGACAGATGAGATCAATTATTTGGCTGAACGCATGTCACCCACTTGGTACTGACCCACAGGTGTCACCAATATGCTTTCCTCTTTATTTTGGAAGTGGTTTCAACATTTAGTTGTTTCTTGGGACTTTGGATGCTCAGGTCTTAGTGTATCCAGGAGACTGCAGTTCTGGGCAACTTAGCTTAATTGGCTTCAGCTTTGTTGGTTGTCCTGCCTCCTATGGAATGGAAATGCATGAGTGGTCCCGTAATGGATACTGCTGTGATGTAGTAGAATGAACATGGGATTTGGAATCCCGAGACCTGAATTTAGAAAAGTCCATACTTTGCGAAGTGCCACTTAGCTGCTGTGTGACCTTGGGCAAGTCACCTAACTTTTAAAAGCCTGTTTAATTATCTGCACAGAGGGAGTAATAATACCTCACATCATTTGTCAAAATGAGTTTGACTAGGTAACACTGGAGAGAACTTTATTCAGTAGTACATTCGAATGTGAGGTGTTATTCTTCCCCTTTTACTTTGTTGTAGCAGTCTAGAGAACAAGTAACAATGTGAGATTTCTTGTATTCTGAGAGGGTAATAACTGACGATCCCATGCAGTCAGATAATGTAAAGAGTGGCGCATAGTCCATACATGTGAATTGCATTTCCACTGACGTATTCTCATAGACCGGTTGGAAGGGATTTTGGTTGACATTTGTAATTGAGTTTGATACGGTTAACACAGGGACAAAGTTGGTTTGGTCAACTTTGAAGCATGCAAAACTAAACTCGCCTGTCATCTAAACTGGCCCTGTGTGGGGCTAGCTTCTATTAAGTGCAGTCTTTGGGGGATAGATGGATATCCTCATTTTGTCTAAAGCTACACATGATGCTTTTGCAAAAAGCGTTTAAATACATAAATATATTGTTGTGTCTTGAGTGTTAAACTACTTGTTTTAGTTTGGAAAATAGTGGTAAAATGCTGGGGCCTTGTAAGTTTAGAGTATTTTGGTTGAGGTTGGGGGTAGCATTGGTCCCTGTTTTCCTAAATTTATTGACAGTTTGGTCTTATTTAAAGCTAATTTTAAGTGTATATCCAAGCTAAAATAATATTGACTCTGGTACATTTTGAATGAAAAAGCACATTATTCTCCCCTGTTAATCTATTTTTGGAATGTGATATTACTAGACTGCCATAAAGAAGAATAACCCCAGGAAGTACCTTCGCAGTGTAGGAGATGGAGAGACTGTGGAGTTTGATGTTGTTGAAGGAGAAAAGGTGAGGATGCTTTTTGTGTAAAGGTTTGACTTCAGTATGGAAATATTTTGGAGATCTCATCCGTTAGGATGGTGGCTCTAATGTGGATGGATGGGTCAGGTGACCACATGAACACAGGTGCATCAAGCCTTATGTGCTGGCTGCAGTTAGAGGGCAATCTCTTCAGAACAGTGAGGAACTGATACTTAATCATTTCTATGCACCCCTGGCCACATAGACCCTTTATTTGCTTTGTGTAAATTTTGTTAAGTGTACTTAATTCTGTTGTCACTGTCAATATATGATGGCTTTTGTAGGGTGCGGAGGCAGCAAATGTTACAGGCCCTGGTGGAGTTCCAGTGCAAGGCAGTAAATATGCAGCAGACCGTAACCATTATAGACGCTATCCACGTCGCAGGGGTCCTCCACGCAATTACCAGCAGAACTACCAGAATAGTGAGAGTGGGGAAAAGAACGAGGGATCGGAGAGTGCTCCCGAAGGCCAGGCCCAACAGCGCCGGCCCTACCGCAGGCGACGGTTCCCACCTTACTACATGCGGAGACCCTATGGGCGTCGACCACAGTATTCCAACCCTCCTGTGCAGGGAGAAGTGATGGAAGTAAGTTTTTACCAAAAAGTAAAAGAATGAACAGCATGCAAAAACTTTGAATAGGTCTACATTTTAAGCATTTTGTGGGTGTCTTCTCGTATCTGTGTTGGAGTAATTAATCTAGTGGGGAGCATTTTTTGATTCCTAATAAAAACTCCAAAGGTTAATTTACAATGTGATTACAGGTAGATGATTTCTTTATTTTTAACTCCTGTACGCAGACTTTGGTTTTGTCTGGTGTGGTTCATTTACTCTGTTACTGATTGAGTCAGCTTGATTGTCTTTCCAGGGTGCTGACAACCAGGGTGCAGGAGAACAAGGTAGACCAGTGAGACAGAATATGTATCGGGGTTACAGACCACGATTCCGCAGGTATGGTTTGTATTAAGTTTCTCAAGCATATGTTAGGACTGAGTAGCATCATACTTCTCCTGCAGCCTTTTTGAGTCATTTATTTGTTAACACTTAACATTTTCTTTTATCAGATGCCTAAGAGGTGAACCTGAAGTCAGTTATCTTTGAGAATGTGTTCTTTGCATCTTCTTGCTGGCCCTGCTTAAAAACAGCTTGTATAGATGAGGTCTACTTTATACGATTGTGTTTTCTTTTTTCCCCCCTCTCTTATAACGAGGGTATATGGAATTTCAGTTTTTCTGTCCTTGCACAGGTAAGAGAATAGTTCAACCTGCATTACATTACATGTTTTAAGACCTGCTTCATTGGGAGGGAGAAAGGTAAAGGTAAGCATTAGCTTTTAAGTATTAGGAATATCTGAACTGTACCTTAACATAAATGAGGAAATGATAATGTAATCTCTTGAGGTGGCATAATTTTCCATTAATCTCTTCTTAATTTAGGGTTTTTTTTTTGTTGCCCCTAGGTTGTGAAATCAAATCACTCTAATAGAATATAGAGTAATTGGAGAAGAGTTTTGTGAACCGGAAGTGTTTAGTATATAAATGTGGTAGTCCTTTTTGAGCCAGTATACCATTTGTCGCACAATGGGTGGATAGAGTGGTGTAACAAGTTACCTTTTTAAAGGTCTCTATAACTAAAGCAGCAAGTCTCTAGATGTGATCCCTAAAACTAACAGGTAGTACACTCAAGTCAAAGCAATACAGTTAAAAACTCTTAACTAATCACTTACATAGCGGCTTTAACTGTAGATGTCCAGAGAACTTAAGAAACAAATTCCTTACTATAAAAAGTATCTAGAATACAATGTAGAAGTCTTCAGAATACTTTGTGATTCTATAAAAGAGGTTTCTGACAACACCACAACCACCCCCATCTTTTGTGTACTTCAACAAAAATGGAGGTACTGTAGCTTTAGAAGCTAGGGAACCCAGTTGAGATTATACTATCTGCATCAGTATATATGCTTTGAGAGTTTTGCAGTAGCCAGTGTCTATAACATATTCTTGTTTCCACTGATGTTTGTTGTGTCCTGAGTTTCTAATTCATGAAAATGGCCTGGAGTTCTAGCTGGTTGTGTTAGCTATGTGCTGGATGTTGGAAGATAGATGGGGTTTCCCTGTTGAGTGTGAAAGATTATTTTTGATGTTAACAGATGACCTTTGTTGATCTTGAACTCACCTATTGTTCAGACTAGTTTTAAAACAACACAAAGATACCTTGTTGAAATATTGCAAATGATATCACAGTGCCATTTTTCAAAGTGATCAGTGTTTTTAAAATAGTCTAAAATAGGTTCTAGTGGCAGTATCCATTACATCCAAGAGTGCCAACAGCAGAAAACTTAGTTTCCCTTTTCGTTACACTATAAAGTTGCTTAAACATTCTACCTAGCTTTATTAGTGTCTTTAAAAATAGCATGTGAGCTTTTGTTGTTGAATGCTTTGGTTTTACTGTTTGACTTTTAATTAGACTTAATAGTTTCATTTGATGGATAGACTAGTTGACAGTGCTTGGGGTTAAATCCTGATTAGTGTAGGCTCCAGGGCAAACTGAAAGATCCTAAGGCAAGTATAGCAGTTTCACTGAGGAGACAAATGAAGTGGCAAGAGGGGAGAAGAGGCATCAAGAAAGTGTTTTTGAGAAATAAGGGCATGATTTGTAGGCTGAGAAATTCAGTAGAAGACAGTTGACAGGAAAGTGAGTGGATTCAGGTTGTCCACACATAAGGGGTGAACCCTTTGTTAGGAACCCTTGGTGTTTTATGTGTAAGAAGCCTGAGTATGTGGGCACTGATGTGTTAGTGGAATCAAAAGAAGGGTTCAGAGAAGAGGCGTGAGGAATTTGGGACAAAGATGTGGGATTATTTCTAGAAGAGAAATAGGGAAAATCAAATAATAAAATAATGGTCATATTTAAAGCGGGACCACCCAATGTGGTTGTATTTTCCAGCCTTTTTTGAGCAGCAGGCTCAAATTGAGCAGAGTTGAATTTGTCTAGCGTTTTTTTGTTGATCCAAATGAAGAACCTAGGGTTGGGATTGGTTATGCTTAATGGTGGGCTTTTATATTTGGGTAACGGGAGAAAAATATTAAGGGGGAATGGGAAATAGAATAATTGGTAGGATCACTGGATTATAAATTCTCATGGAATAAAGAATGGGAGAACAAGAAGGAAAGAAGTCTTGATAATTTCTTTGATCCTGATACCTTTAATTTCAGGCGATTAAACATACTATTGCTACAGTGTAAACTTGAACTTTTTTTTTCTAAGTGTATAGCTCTGGATTTTAGTAGTATATTTACACAGTTATGCAACCATTACCACTGTCTCCTAATTCCAGAATTTTCACCCATCTCCCATGAAAAAATACCCTTGTGTCTATTAGCAGTCACTGATTTCCCTTTTCCCTGTGCCCCAGCCCCTGGCTTCCACCAATTACCTTTTGTCTGGATTTGCCGATTTTGAACATTAATGAATGGGATCATAGATTTTTGTGTCTGCACCCTTCACTTTAGCATATTTTTTAAGGTTCATCCATTTGTGGCATGTAGTATTTAATTCCTTTTCGTGGGTAAATCAAGGTCCACTGTATGGATGGATATCCTATTTTATTTTTTCAGTAATCAGCTCATAGGCACTTGGATTATTTCCACATTTGTGTTACTGTGAATATCGTAATCATGAAACGGATATATTCTTGGGTATAGACTTCCTGAGTGGAATTGATTGCTGGGTCACATAGTAACTCTAAACATTTTGAGGAATTGCTGGACTGTGTTCCAAAGCTCCTGCACCATTTTTATATTCCAGCAGTGTATGGGTTTCCAATTTCTCCACATCTTTACCAACACTGGTTATTTTCTGGTCTTTTGATTATGGCCATCCTGGTGGGTATGAAGTGGTCTCCTGTGATTTTGATTTGCTTTTCCCTAATGACTAATGGTAGCTGTGTGCTTTTGATTTCTTTTGAGAGAACATCTTTTCTTTGGTTTTGATTTCCTGCCTTTTTAGCAAGTGCTCCTCTATCAGTAAAAGATTATTAGCACTTGTTCCCAAACCTGATTACCATGAAGCCCATGTAAATAAAATGGCATGAAAGTTAAAATTTGCTGGTCCATTAATACCAGTTTTAAATGCCCATCTTCTAGTTTATACACTTCCAAATCCTTGCATAAAGTCCTCCCATTCCGTTTGTGAAATATGAACCAAATTTCATATTCATTTTTGATAAGCAGACCAGGTAATGGTGTTTAGTTGACTGAACCAAGTGAGAAACACTGGTGGGTGGGTTAAAGAAAGCATGGAGGTTTTCTCACTGCAATTTTGGCACAACATTCATTCCAGGGGTCCTCCTCGCCAAAGACAGCCTAGAGAGGACGGCAATGAAGAAGATAAGGAAAATCAAGGAGATGAGACCCAAGGTCAGCAGCCACCTCAACGTCGGTACCGCCGCAACTTCAATTACCGACGCAGACGCCCAGAAAACCCTAAACCACAAGATGGCAAAGAGACAAAAGCAGCCGATCCACCAGCTGAGAATTCGTCCGCTCCCGAGGCTGAGCAGGGCGGGGCTGAGTAAATGCCGGCTTACCATCTCTACCATCATCCGGGTAAGTAAACTTAGATGGCCTCTGCCTTCTGAGCCGTCATGAGTGGGGTCTGTTAATGTAAGAGAAAGCTGAGCCATTGTGACTCAGGGGGTCTTTTACCCATATTCATCTTCAGATTACCTAAATATCTGATTTTGCTCACTCATCTCAGTTCTGACACCTGGAGGCCTGAGTTCTTGAATAGTAGAGCCTTTGTCCACTGTTGTGAATGAATTCTGTGATTTTACCAGTAAGCTGAGGACAGTCTGGCTAACTTTATTTACCCTAAGAAGTATGGTTGCATTATGTTTGTTTTCAAAAGAGGTGGGATAGCTACTAGAATTAATAACCTTCGTGCTAATGAGCAACGTCGTCTCTTTGGGGAAAGTGGTATATCAGTTCCAAAATTAAGGGATTCCTTTGCATTCAACCTTTTACTTGATACTCAGAAACATGTAACAGTCTCTACTTTATTCTAGAATTGTCACTTTCAGTCAGTGATAACTTTTGTGTTTTTTCCCTTTATTAGTTAATAGTTGGCCAAAGGTCATTCAGAACCTATAAGTAGCCATTCTTGTCACAGCATTGTCAGCCCCCTGTTGGAAATCCGTGTCTTGGGATAAACAAATAGGAGTTTTGTTCATGCCAGTGTGATCTGGAGCAGTTTGGTGTGTACTGAAAGAATGTAGACGATGCAGTGCAAGATGATCTTAAATTTATTTATTTATTTTCTACAGTTTAGTCATCCAACAAGAAGAAATGAATATGAAATTCCAGCAATAAGAAATGAACAAAAGATTGGAGCTGAAGACCTTAAGTGCTTGCTTTTTGCCCATTGACCAGATAACTAGAACTATCTGCATTATCTATGCAGCATGGGGTTTTTATTATTTTTACCTAAAGACGTCTCTTTTTGGTAATGACAAACGTGTTTTTTAGAAAAAAGAAAAAAAAAGCCTGGTTTTTCTCAATACACCTTTAAAGGTTTTTAAATTGTTTCATATCTGGTCAAGTTGAGATTTTTAAGAACCTCATTTTTAATTTGTAATAAAAGTTTACAACTTGATTTTTTCAAAAAAGTCAACAAACGGCAAGCACCTGTTAATAAAGGTCTTAAATAATTGTCTTTGTGTATATTTTTGTCTTGTCTTATTTTAGTTTGTAAGTCCTTAGCTTAGATGATACTGGCAGTTTATTACTCAGGGAAATTTCCTTAACATGTAGTTCAAGGGATATCTCTGAGCTCATACTAAACATCAGAAAGTGTTTATTAACGATAACTCAACCATTTTCCTTTTTCTAAGATTTCTTTTTCTTGGTTGGGGGCAGCGGTAAAGGGGAGAGGGCATGCTGTAGCGTCCACTAACTGGACTCTTCATTCCTACAAGCCACGTATTTCTGGCCACATGGAAGTTATTTTCATCTGCCAGTTGAAGATACCCACAAGAGCTTCGCAGTACCTGCCACAGAGCCTAGTGTGCTCAGTGAAGAGGTTTGGCTCCTATGTGAGGTTGATTGGAGGTAGTAACAATGAATACCGTAATGCCTATAGGAAGACTTAGTGCTAAAGAATGTGGAGATTGGTGAAAATAATTTTGTGTTCTCAGCTCCCTTCTAACTTAAGCCTATTCTGGTTACCTTTTTTTTTTTTTTTTTTTAAATAATGTCTTGCTAGATGTTCACTTGGGAACCTCCTGGTCAGCTTTTGGGGCCCAGGGGGAAAAGATGGGGATTTAGAGAGGCACATCCAGGAGTCCTTCAGTGCTGTGTAAGTCCAGGTGGGGGTGCCCCTTTCCATAATGTGCTCAAAGTTCACACAACCAAGATTACATTGCACTGATGCTTTTAACTCTAGAGGACTGGTAAGTAAGGCTTACCAACATTCAAGTAAGCTAGTATCTTTCAAACTCCTTTTCCAAACTTGGAACCAATCTTTTTTCCCCCCTGCCATGAGAAATCTTTATTACTGGCAAGAATGCAGTGGAACAGACTTGAATACTGTGTCTCCCTCTTTTTATACACCACCGATGGTGTATAAAATATATTTTTTGTAATTACATATTTAGAATGTATTATCATGGGAATGACCACACCAATACTGGTTAAATATCCAATACAGGTATTCACTTGTCAGAAGTTTGCATTCTACTACTTTGCCTTTAGGGAAGACCTACGTTGTTTTTGCTGACAAATCTGAAGAGAATTTTTGCTTTATAAAAATAGCATTCAGTGCTTGTTTTGCTGCAGTGAGCTGTTTACACAGGGCAGTGCTCACTGAGCAGCAAGAGTGGTGCTACCAAGTTTCTTTCCTAGGAACTCCGCTCAGCATCTAGCTGCCATAGTGTGGAAGAAAGTTTCCTACGGTGCAGTCTTGATACTGACATTGCAAACAAAACTACTTGTGTGTTTTTTGATGTGTGTTTGTCTTGTGTTTTGTTGCCCAGCCCTCGATGAATGAATGCCTTTACCATATGTAAGAGCTGGATATCCGATGAACCTTTAAGGCAACCCAGTGGATGTGTTCTTCAGCCAGGATGCAGGTTTAGTGCCTGGTCTGGCAGTCAGATGGCACATGCATGAGACTTGGGAGAAGTGCACAGTTCGCTGGGGGTGGGTGGGGTGGGGGAACAGCTGAGGGGGACACAGTGTTCTGCAGAAGCAATGATTTCCTTATTTTGACAACTCTGCTTTAGTTCTTAACACTTAACTTTGAGCCTAGTACTCCAGCCTTTAACAGTTACAAGTGTCTCCTATCCCTTTATGAGAATATTTATGTGACTGTAGCAGAGGGAGCACAGGAAAAAGATGGACACCTGGCTGTTGGTAGAGCATGCAACTCTTGATCTTGGGGTTGAGTTTGAGCCCCATATTAGCTGTAAAGATTACTTAGAAGTATAGTCTTTGGGGTGTCAGGATAGCTCAGTCAGATTGGCTCAGGTCATGATCTCACAGTTTGTGGATTCAATTCCCATGTCAGGCTCTGTGCTGACAGCTCAGATCCTGGAGCCTGCTTCGGATTCTGTCTCCCTCACTCTCTGCCTCAACTCCTTTCTTACTCTGTCTCAAAAAATGTAAATGTTTAAAAAAAATATTTTTAAGTGACAGTGGTGTGATACAGCAGAAATTTAGCCCACCACCAGGAATCCTACTGCTTCAGGTTTACCAGGAGGGAAAGCCACTAAAGGGGCTCTAAGGGAAGTCTTATTTATAGGCAGAGTAAGAAGTGAATGAGAAGAGGCAGGGGGACCAAGTTCCAGAAGGCACAGTGGAAGGTTTGGGAGGTAAAGCAATAGGGGTCAGATATGGAGTTGGCGAGAGCTAATGGAAATTGGAATAAATGCTGACCAGGGGAAGCTTGAACATTTGGTAAGTGATAGGTAAACCAGAAAATGTCACACGTGACTGGCTTCGTGCCAAGGTTTTGCTAGTGGAAGGGTTAGTCTGATGCTACTGTGGTTAGGTTGACTTGTGGCAGGGGAAGGAGCAGTCTTAGGAACTCTGCCTCTCCCTTCTCTGAGTGGTGCTATACAGCTAGAGGAGGTTGTATATCTTCCATCTGGCTGCCTGTTTATAAAGTTTACAAGCAGGACAAAAGTGAGTAGACTGGCAGTTTGCACCACATTCACACCTGTCTTGTGATGTTTTAACCCCTCTGACAGGTTTGGGCAGTTGTTAGCTCTACAGCCCTCCTGCACTTTAATTCTGTTTGGGCTGAGGAGCTGGTGATGGGGTACCTGGATTATTTTTAGGGAGAATGATTTTCATTTTAGAAATCATACTCTGGGGCAAGGGGAAAAAAAGCTTGATCAGAAAAGAAGTGACCAGCTTGGTCATTACTGCAGGAGTCCGGGTAAACAATGAGACACGTGTTAACTGCAATAGGAAAGAAGGTCAAATTTGAAATGTTTTCAAAAATGGAATTGACAGATGTGACTAGCTGAATGTGGGGATGAAGAAATCCAGCATGATTGCAGAATGTTAATACAGATGGTGTCATTTGCTAGAATAGAGAATACACAAAGGGGAGAGGTCTTTTCAGTTTATATGGTGTTTGAGGGAGTATACAGGAAGCAGATTTGGAGCTGAGGATTGAGGTGTAGGCCGAGATGAATGTTTGACAATCATTCAGTGGCCATTGAAAGCTATGGTCTTGGATGAAACTCCATCACTCCAGGGGTGTCTGTGGAGAACAGAACTTGGAACTTTTGGAACAAGGTCAAGATCTAAAAGCAATGACCAGAAAGAGACGCAGAAATTCCAAAAAGGGAGGACCTCACAGAATCCTGGAGAACAAAATAGGAAATGACTCCTTTGCCATTACTCCGTCCAAGAAGGTACATGTGGGAAGTGTCAGTTGTGCTTCATAACAAGACCAGTCTTGAAAGTAGTTGTGGAAATGCAGGGATGGGCAGCAGCAGGTTGAAGGGCTGTTGGTCCCACAGTCTTCCATCTCCGTAACAACTAGCCCATCCTGCCAGGTCCCAGCCAAACCCCTCAGTCCTGATTTCTTTTTTTCCCCTCACACTCCATATCCAGTGAGTCAGCAAATCCCGATGATTCTGCCTTTGAAACCTCCAGAATCTGACCACCTCTCACCTCCTACCCTGACATGGATTTAGGCCTCACCTTTCTGCTGTAGTCCATTTTCAATCTATTAGCCAAGGTCACACTGCCCAAATACTCAGAGGCTTCCAATCTCCCCTGAGCAGAAGCCAGCTAGGTATGGGAAACTTCTGTCTTCCACTTTCCCAGCTCTCCCTGTGGTTACTCCCAACCTCACAGGCAGCCTTTTCCAGACACACTCCCAATCCTGAGGCTTTTCCCTCTTGAGAGGAAGACCATTGCCTCATTTAAGTAAATGGCTTTCTCGCCCAGATCTTTCAGGTCTTTAGGAAAGTCTTCCCTGACCATTGTTTGAAATAGCCACCCCTCTCCTCCCCATGGCCAGATCTTCTAGCCTCCTTGCTCAATTTTTTTCCAGTGCGCATCTTCATCTGCTAATACTATACTTGTTCTTTGTGTTTGAGATTTGTGTTCTATTCACTGCTGCTGTATCCCAGTATTTACAACAGGACTAAAAGAACTTACAAGTTCAAAAAATACACTGACGTGGGATAAGGAAAGCAAAGGCTGCCTGTGAAAAGGCAAGTTTGTCTGACCATCCGATTTACGTTTTAGCCAATAGGATGTTCTTGAGTGGAGGGATGTGGTTTTCAGTTGCACTGGCCTTAAAGGGCTACCCTGGGCAACATGGGTATTCTGGTCACTGTAAAGATACACTAGAGTGGGGCACCTGGGTGGCTTAAGTCAGTTGGGCATCTGACTTCAGGTCATGATCTCACAGTTTGTGACTTTGAGCCCCACACCAAGCTCTGTGCTGACAGCTCCGAGCCTGGAGCCTGCTTCACATTATGTGTCTCCCTCTTTGTCCCTCACCCGCTTACTTTGTCTCTCAAAAAATGAATAAATTCAAAAACAATAAATTGGAGGGAAGGGTATTTTTTAGGATGAGGAGACATGTTTACGAGGGGCAGAGGAGGCAACCAAGAAGACAGCTTTAAAATGATGAAGCCTTATGTACAATAAAATGCTTCATTTTGTCCTGTGTATAACATGTAATTTTCATAAATCATCTGAGCCAATAAGAAGGAAAATGGTTTGGAGTCAGAATACCTGAGTGCCAGTTCTCTCAGGTAAACTTCACCTTCCACAGCCTCGGCATGGTGCTACTACATAAAAGTCAGTGCTGAACTTTGAAATCGCTCTCAAAGTAAGATATCTGGACCATCCACAAGAATATGAACAGATTTTCTTGGATCCCACCTTCAAACCGCCAAATCCAAATGTAGGGGAGGAGCCTCAGAATGAGCGTTTTATATTTTTAGAGATAAGAAATCCTGAAATTCTGGTGAAGTTTAGGTGAGAATAAAATAGTAATGTCTGACATTTTGTTAGTGCTCAGTAAGTGTTGGTTGTTAACAGCAACATCGTAAGAACTAATATAATAGTTGTGAGCTTTAAACTGAAAGTGATGGCCATGAGAATGTGACTTGTAGACTTCTGACTATAGGAAACATAAAAGACCCAACATGCTCTGCTCTGAAATCTACCGTGTTTGTCCC